GATCTCGTTTAGTGATTGATGTATATTTTTGAAAAATAATTCAGTTTTTAGCTGAAAAATGTGTTATGAAGTTTGAAAAAGGCAAATGTTATGCCATTTTCGACCTAGGTTGATGATTTTTCGCTCGGTTTAAGCGAAACTTTGAGTAAACTTGAAATTTTTAACTCGAAAATGCTCGAAAAAAAAGCACAAATAACTCTATCCTCGACTTAATTTAGCGTTTTTGGCCGAAATTTCGCAAAATAATTACGTTTCTGAGTTAAAAATGGGCTGAAACCGTTGAAAATGATGCGAAAATTTCTGCATTTTTTGAATCGATTTGGCTTAATTTCTAGCTCAATGACGTACTTAATCACTCGAAAAACAAAAAAGTAACAAATTTTCAACATAAATTACTGATTTTTGGTTTATTTTTGACCAAATTTTGTAAAATAATTGGTTTTACGACTTAAAAACGGTTGTAAAAAGAAAAATAATTATTCTTTTTTGATTTCTGTTAGAGTTTTTTATAACAAATCTTTAGCTCAAAAATGTGCTTAACCACTCGAAAACGCAAAAATGTCTCGTTTTCAACCCAAAATTGTTGAATTTTTGGCTAGTTTTTAACTGAAAAACATACTCAAAATGACACCGTTTCGATCTAATTTGATGTTTCTTTGGCTTATTTTTGACGAAATTTGTAAGATAATTTTGACTCAAAACTGAGTTAAAACGCCCGAAAAGTAAAAAATAACACCATTTTTCACGTAATTTGATGAGTTTTCCATGAAGTTAAACAGCCTTGTTTTTCTAAAATTATTTGTTCAAAATAAAAAATCCTTTTTTTTAGAGTTTCACCTCAATTTTCAATGTGTACCGCACGGAAGAGCTCCCATCTCTCCAATCCTCAACTTCAGTCTGCAAATGCGAAATCTACGAATCGGAGTTAAGAATCTGCACGTCTGAAATCGAAGTTTTAAAATCGGCCCTCGTCCAAATCCGCAGTCAAGTCGAAATCCGTAAAACCTACGACGAAGAAATCAGTCTATTGAACGCTCAACTTGCCCAACTCAAGTCCGAATTCTCCTCAATTTGCGCCCTCAAAACCGAATTGGACGATTTGAAGCAACGTCTCAGACAACCTCCGCCTTGTACTCCTCCACCGCCGCCTCCACCACCTCCTCCGCCACCTCCATCAGCCCCGAAAACCATCGTCCCAAAACCGAAAAAATCCAACAGTAAGAGTAATAAGGAGAATTCGCGGCCAATTATCTCCCTCGATGATATTCTTAAAGTGAAGTTGAAGAAAACAACGGTGAGGTGAATTTTTTGAGGGTGTTTTGAGGTGAATTGAGGTGTTTTAGGAGCGACCGACGCCGCATAGAAGAAATACGCAGCCGATGGTCTCGATGGAAATGTTGAAACAAGTGAAGTTGAAGCCGCCCTCAAGACCTCAAACGCCGGTTGGTGAGACGAGTCCGAATTCGAGTTTGACGCGATTGTTGAGTGAGAAAACCGTAAAGGTTAAGAGGTTAAGGAGGGTTGGGGGTTACAGTTTTGATGATGTTTGTAGACGAAACCAGCTGGCGAGGCAAGAGAGGGAGAGGACAGTCAGCTGAATGGAGTGAATTGAGGGGGTTTTACCCCTCAAAACAACGGTATTTTATTTCGAGTTATTTTTTTATATTGTTTATTATGAGTATATGTATATGGCGATTTTAAGACATTCTATTTTTATTAATTTTATTGAAGGTGGTTTTGAGGAATTATGCAACGAAATACTCAATTTTGGATCTTATTGTGATATATTTAAATAATAGAACTTTATCAAGACAATGATGCTTTATTTAACTCCTGATTCTTAAGAATTTTTAATCGAAAGCAAGGATTTTTTGTTCAATTTTTTGGAATTTTCAACTTTAAACATACTGAATTCCGCCTAATATTTCAAAAAATAGGAAAATTTTCACTTTTAAAAATGTGGTCATGTGATCCTAATACTTACTCCTGATATTTCAAAAAATGGCGGGTAATTTTCAGTTTTAGAAATAGGAAATACCGCCTCGCTGATACTAACTCCTGATATTTCGAAAAATAGCGAAATTTCCCATTTTAAAAATGTGGAATACCTCCTAGCGTTCATGTGATCCTATTATTACCACTGATATTTCGAAAAATGGCGGGAAATTTTTAATTTTAGAAATAGGGAATACCTTCTCACGTTCATGTAATCCTGATACTAACTCCTGATCCGGAAAAAACAAAATTTTCACTTTTAAAAAAATATGAAATACCTCCTCGTGTTTATGGGATCCTGATACTTACTCCTGGTATTTCAAAAAATCACAAAATTTTCAATTTTTAAAAATATGGAATACCTATTCACGTTTATGTGATCCTGATATTTTTTGCCCCACTTTTTTTGTTACCACAAGCAATTTTTACTGAAAATTGTGAAAAATTTCGACTCCTGAAGATTCCCTCGCGATGATTAGTACCAAAACATCGCTCCCATCATAAATAAAACACTTCAAAAATATAAAAATTGTATTTTCTCGCCACTTATACAAATGCCTTATATCAAAGAATAATACTATATACACATCCACAAATGTCACACATCAAGCCCTATTGAAATAAATTACGTATCAGTCACGCCTTCAATCTCTTATCAACCAGCTTAATATCCCTCACTTGCAAATTCTTATCACTTTTCGCGGCGAACTTAATCAGCGCTTGTGTCGAAATCTGCAACGAATGTCTGCAATCCAACCTCACTAAACTCTCACACTTGGCCAAATGTTCCAAACTGGTCTCAGTGACCAACTTCGAGTGACTCAGATCGAGCGTGACCAAACTGGCGACCGTATTCGCCGGCTTGGTCGTCAACTGCGCAATCCCCGCATCGCTGATCCTCGGACACAGACTCAGACTGAGATGCTGCAAGTTGGGCAAATACTGAGTCACATACCGCATCGCAATGTCGGTAACATCGGTCCCTGCAAGCTTAAGCGTCCGCAAATTGCGAAACCTGATCTTCTCGTCGGCCAAACCGCGGCGGGAGTCGTTATTAGGCCCCAGGATCTCCCTCAAGGCCGCATCGTTGAAATCCGAGATGAAACTGAGATCCAAGTGTTGCAACACCGCTGAGTGGTTTGTACGCAATGAGATGGCCGTTTTCACATTGACACTCACAAGAGTCAACTCTTTGAGATTACTGAGTCTTTGGATGAGCCACGGGAGTTGGAACTTGTTGATGTGACACCAGTCGAGTCTGAGCACTTCCGGTTGCCTCCGGACCACCCCTTTGAGGATATCGGACGAGATGTGTTTCCGGTTGAAGGCCATCACCCGCCACAACACCGGATCGATGGAATAAGTGGCCCAAGTCTTGCACACCAACGCACAACTCAACAAGTCCTTCGGACTCAAATACTTGAAAACGTTCAAAATGCAGCGCTTATCAAGCGCTAGATTATTCGTGGGGAGGGGATTCATCATCAAGATGGGGGCCGGCCGCACCACCACCATGGGTTTTTTCAACAACTTCGTCGAATTGCTCGCGATTTGGTGGGCGAGTTGCATGCGAAACGCCGTTTTGCGAGGGAGATCGTTCGTTTGGGTTTTGCTCGTTTCGATTTCCACGGCCCCCTCGCTGCTTCGACGCTTCTTGATCGGGAGGAGGTCCTTGTTGTCTTTATTGTCGTTTTCGCTACCCGAGTCCGAGTAGTGCTCCTGGTGGAGTTTGGCGTCGAATGCGCTCGATGCGTCCGAACTTATCGACATTCGACGCATGTCGCTGGATTTCTGACGGGCGCGGAAATGACGAGGGCGGTAGTCGGTGTTTTTGCCCAGTTTGCAGCACATGGGGCACTCCCATGAGTTGGGCATGTCTTCGTTGATGTAGCCGGTGAAGTCGGGACAGAGGCGTTGCACGCATGAGGGGTGCGCGATCTCGTAGCAAACCTGGGGGAAAAAAAATTAAAAATTAGTATATTCAATTTTGGTGGATGCGCCGGGTCGGTCTATAATTGGTTGCATAACCAATCAAGTCTGGCGGAAGCCGAAAAAGTGACGTAACTTTAAAAACAAATTTCATTTTGATTTTGATTGGCGATTAATTTAGATATAATAAATTACTGAACAATTGTTTGGTTCCACCGGACTTCAAATTTTTGACACTTCCTGAAAATCTATTGTAAACCAAGCTTTAACGTCAAATTTGACATTTCAAAACTAGTAAAACGTCAATTTGTGACATTAAATGAAAGTGAGGTTACGTTTTACACATTATGTCAGCAGAATGACCTTGCTCTTCCATTTTTTTGTATTTACTGGCACTCGGTAGTAATAAATACAATAAATAGATTAATATGAAACAAAGAAAAAGACCGAAAATCTGAAACTTGTCAAATTAATAATTACAAATGATTAATTTTACGACAAAACGGAAATTTTTTTGTAAAATATTTAAAAAAAAAAATTGGTTAACATATTAAAATTTGTTATACATAACTGAGAACTGAGAAAGCAAAACACTAATAATATTACATTTTTAATTTTTTGAATTGGTGTCATAGATGATACACATAAAAAACAAAATTTTGAAAAAAATTGTCGAAGTTTTAGTTTTTTAAACTTTTTATTTAGTTCTTCATGACAGAAAATATTATTAATTAAATATTATTAATTTTTACTTTTTAAATTGGTGTCATACATGAGAAAAAAAAATTTTTGAAAAAATTGGTACGTTTTTGTTTTTTTTTATCTTTTTTATAACAATTGAATAAAAAGTTGTTTAATTCTTTTAATTTACTAGAAATAAGAAGGCCTTAACGTCGTCAAATTTGATATTTCAAAACGTCAAAATTACGGAAAAGCAGTGACAATAAATTGAAAATGTGCTTACTACCTAAAGGCCGTTTTACACTTAATTTCAACAGAATGACGTTGCTGTCCCATTTTTTTTGTACTTTCTCGCAATCGGTACAATTAAAAAAAATATTATAGTAGTTTTTGTTTATTTTAATAAGTTGATTATTATTGTTGTGTTTTTGGTTCGTAGCCAATCACCTTGACGTCATATCAAGCAAGCCGGAGGTTTGTTTAATCGTACTACTGTAAAAGGCACAAAAAATGGTGTATTAATATGTAATATTCAAATTATTTTGTGACGTTGCGAATTATGCAATCCCGAACAAAGTCTTTTTAGACCGGAATTGTTACGAAATGGTTTTTGTGCCGTTTTTGAGGAAATTATTACAATAATAAGTCAGTCTTAGTCAAGCTCTCGTACGAATCACTTGTCCGGATAAATTACTACTTATTATTTGGTGATTCAGTGCGAAATCGTGTTGAAATGAGAACTGTACACACATTACGTGTGTGTTGTGTATTTTCGAGTGTCTAATAGACATTTAGTAGTGCCAATGGGGAAAATGGAGGAAGCAATCGTGCTACAAGGATCCGGATTAAAGGGTAAGTTTTAATTTTTAGAAAATTATATTTAAATTTTATTTAATATTTTCAAATAATTTAAAAACACGTACTGATTTTGTGTTTCTTTATTTTCAGTAGGTCCGTTTAAGAAGCAGAAGCAAATTGCTACAAAGAGTAGCAGAAGAAGATGCCATAAAGGTTAGTGCATTTTATTCTTTTATTTTTACTTTTGTTTATTGCAAAGTGAAGTGTGAAAACTTGTGATTTTTGAGTGCAACAGTAAGTAAATATTTGTTAAATTATGAATAGAAATTAGTTGTTATTGCCTTTGCCAAGTCTCGCACAGTAACTTCCACTTGTGGGAGGTAAACATACTCTTTCCTTCCTTGTAATACAAAATATTTCTAGTAAATCGAGTTAAAAGTTTTTGATTGAATTGTTAATTAGTGGCTCCTTGAAGTGGTGATTTTTCCGCTATTTTTGGCAAAAGTTCGTGAAATAATTATGTTTTCGGCAAAAAAATACTAAAACACTGAAAAAATGCAAAAACAATGTTATTTTGGAACTAATTTGGTAACTTTTCGGTACAGTTTAGCAAAGTCTCACGAAAAACTGAGTTTTTTTGCTCAAAAACTGGCTAAAATGCTTCAAAAATGTAAACAATAGCACATTTTTATAAAATTGAGTATTTTTCAGCTTATTTGTGACGAAATATCGCGAAATAATTGCGTTTCCGGTTGAAGAACACGCTAGAACACTCGAAAAAGACAAAAATAATTGTGATTTTCGGGTCATTTTTGACCAAATTTTACAAAATTGTAGCATTTCTATGCAAAACGTGCCTTTTTATTTTGGATGAAATTTATTATTGAGTTCCTGGCTTAAAAACGTGTTAAAACAGGTAAGAAAGGCAAAACTAATGCCATTTTCCACCTAATTTAGTGTTTTTGGGCTTATTTTCGATGAAACTTTGGAAAATAATTGTGGTCCCAGCTCAAAAACGCAGTAAAACGCTTAAAAAAAAAGAAGAAACAAGTAATTTTTGACCTAATTTGGGTTAGCTAAATTTTGCAAAAATAACAGCATTGACGATGTAATTTTACTGTTTTTCGACTTGTTTTTGTCGAAATTTGTCGTTTTTAACTGAAAAACGTCCTAAAACGCTCAAAAGAAGCAAAAAAAAGACAAGTTGATCATTTTTCGCCGCCTTTAAGCGAAATTACGTGAACAATTCACATTTTAACGCCTAAACGCCGAGAAAAAGCACAAATATTAATTTTCTGGCCCTGTTTAGTGTTTTCTAGCTTCCTTTTGACAAAATTTTGCAAAATAAGGGCTTTTCTGACACAATAATGGCCCACTAACTAGTGGTAAAAACAAATTTGAAACGATTTAGTGAAATTTGTAGGAAAAAAAATTGATTTTTAGCTCAAAAACGTGCTTAAACACTCGCAAACGCAAAAGTGACTCGTTTTCAACTTTATTTTTGACGAAATTTGGCGAAATAATTGTATTTTTTGACAAAAAAAACGGCAAAACTTGTTTTAATGCTTGCATTTTTTCTAATTAATTTATTTAGAAACTTGAATACCTACGAATATTTAAAAAAGGAGAAAAATCATTTTCTCGTCCGTTTCCATTGTTTCAACCCACGAATTAATAAATTTTCCTTGGAGAAAACCTGTCGGGATGTTTTCTTTTAAGAAAACGAAGCAACGATAAAAAATTCATAAGAAATCAACTCGAAATTGCGTTCCGAAAACGAGACAAACAATTTCGTTTGTCGATTAAATTTAAATAAATAATTCAGTGACAAAATTTTGGGTAAAAATAACTTCACCGACATATCCACCTTTTTATGACATATTGACAGGGATAAATCCCCGGGGAACTCCCGTTTCGGCGAGTGAAAAATAAAAATAATACAAATAGTGCTATTTCTAATGTAATTAACGATTAAAAAAAATTATTTCAAGCTAATTTATGTTTTTTGGTTTAGTTTGGATGAAATTTGTTATTGAGTTCCTCGTTTAAGAAACGTCTTAAAACGGACAAGAAAGGCAAAACTAATGTCATTTTCGACCTAATTTAGTGTTTTTCAACAAAACTTTGGAAAATAATTGTAGTTGTAACTCAAAAACGCACTAAATTTTTGACCTAATTTACCGGTTTTTGACCTGATTTAGCTAAATCTTGCAAAAATAACACCACTGACAATGTAATTTTACTATTTTTCAAGTTGTTTTGTCAAAATTTATCGTTTTTAACTGAGAAACGTCCTAAAACGCTCAAAAGAGCAAAAATAATGCCATTTTCGACCAAAGTTGACAATTTTTTGCCCCTTTCAAACGAAATCTCGAAAAAAAAGCACATTTTAACGCCTAAACACACGAGAAAAGCACAAATAATTATTTTCTCGGCCTTTTTTAGTGTTTTTTGGCTTCTTTTCGAACTAATTTACGTTTATTTTGGTTCAAAAAAACATTTGCCCCTAATCTGATGATTTTACAGTCATTTTTGACTAAATTTTACATTGCATTTCTAGCTAAAATGCACACAAATAAGTTGCTCTAAAAAGGTAAAAATAGTGCTATTTTTAATGTAATTTGATGAGTTTTAGTCAGTTTAAGCGGAATCTCCCAAAGAAATGAAATTTTTGTGCAAAACGTGCCTAAACGAATAAAAAAAAAACAAAAAATTATTTCAATCTAATTTATGTTTTTTTCTTTTTTGGTTTAGTTTGGTTGAAATTTGTTACTGAGTTCCTCGTTTAAAAAACGTCTTAAAACGGACAAGAAAGGCAGAACTAATGTCATTTTCGACCTAATTTAGTGTTTTTGGAATCATTTTCGGCAAATAATTGTGGTTCTAACTCAAAAACCCACTAAATTTTTGACCTAATTTACCGAAATTTAAACGTCCTAAAACACTCAAAAGGGCAAAAATAATGCCATTTTCGATCAAAGTTGTTATTTTTCGCCCCGTTTAAGCAAAATATCGAGAAAAATTCACATTTTAATGACTAAACGCCCGAGAAAAAGCACAAATAATTATTTTCTGGCCTTGTTTAGTGTTTTCTGGATTCCTTTTGACGAAATGTTGCAAAATAAGGACTTTTCTGACACAATAATGACCTATGAACCGGTGGTGAAAAGCAAAAATTTAATTTTTTTTTAAACGATATAATAAAAAATTTGGCGGAGAAAACTTAATTCTTGTTCAAAAACTGCTTAACACTCGAAAACGCAAAAATTACTCGTTTTTAACCCAAAATTTTTGATTAGTTTTTGACAAGCGATGTAATTTCACTGTTTTTTGACTTGTTTTTGTCGAAATTTGTCGTTTTTAACTGAGAAACGACCTAAAACGCCCAAAAGAAGCAAAAATAACGCCATTTTAGACCCAAGTTGATCATTTTTCGCCCCATTTAAACGAAATATCGAAAAAATCACATTTTAACGTGTTAACGCCCGAGAAAAAGCACAATTAATTATTTTCTGGCTTTGTTTAGTGTTTTCTAGCTTCCTTTACAAAATTTTGGAAAACAAGGGCACAATAATGGCATATTAACCAGTGGTAAAAAGCAAAATTATAAATTTTTTGAAACGATTTAGTAAAAAAACTTATTCTTAGTAAAAACGTGCTTAAACACTCAAAAGTGACTCGCTTTCAATTTGATTTTTGACGAAATTTGGCGAAATAATTGTTTTTTTTGGCTAAAAAAATCTCTAAAAAACGGCAAAATATGTTATAATGCTTGATTTTTTCTAATTAATTTATTTAGAAACTTGAATATTAATATGTACTTAAAAAAGAAAAAAAACCTCATCTTACGACACTTTAAACTACCAAAAAAACGTTAATTTACTCCAAGAAAATCGGCTTTCACGCCCCTTTCCATTGTTTCAACCTACGAATTAATACATTTTCCTTGGAGAAAACCTGTCGGGATGTTTTCTTCTGAGAAAACGAAGCAATGATAAAATATTCATAAGAAATCAACTCGATATTGCTGGAGGAAAAACGAGACAATTTCGTTTGTTGATTAAATAAAAAAATTATTTTATTTAAATAAAGGTGTCAGAACTCGCGACCCAGAGAAAAACTTCAAGTACAGTTGGAGACAAAATACTTTGATCGTCACTTTTCTGACACTTGTGTAATTCAAGCTTTAACGTTAAAATGATTGACAATTTCAAATTAATGACAGCTATTATATTTTCTTATCAAAAATATGTACATACAACTTGTCAATTATGATTGACAGTAGCTAAAAATAAGGTTAACAGTCCTAAAGCATGCTTTACAATTTAATGTCACTCAAGTGACATTGACGACCAAAGTATTTTGTCTCCAACTGAACAATAAGATACCAGAAACATGAAAAAAATGTTTAAAAAATGCTATCTGTCAAAAAAAAATTGACATTTATTTTTTGACATTTGACATTTTTTAATTTTTATGTATATTTAATGATACTGATGACCTTGTACACAATTCAGTGACTAAATTTCGGGTAAAAATAACTCCACCGACATTTCCGCCTATTTGAAAATAAACCACCCGAAATCCTTTATGACATATTGACGTAAATCCCCGGGGAACTCCCGTTTCGGCGAGTGAAAAACGCTGTATTTCGCTTCGATAGCCCCACTCACCGAGCACTCCATCAGATTGCTGGCACTCTCGCACCGCTGGGGCCCCTTTTGCAGCGGCGTCACCGGCGTCTGATTCCACCCATCGAGTCCACAATGCACACAAGCGGCGGTCACCGGCAGCATCGGCTGTAGACACTGTCGCATATTGCACGTCTGTTTGGCCCTTCCAGGGCCCCCGAACTTCACCATATCCAAACAGAAACTGCACTCGCCGCAATCGCTCCTCTGACACGCTTCGCATTTCTTGCAACGGGTGCGTCGCCGTCGCGGGCCCCCTTTGTCGGCCCCCAGGCCCGATTTCGATTTGAACGCCGGTTTGGGGGCGCGGACGCCGTTCGATTTTGCGTACGGACGCGGGTAGAGGGATCGACGCTCGTGGTCCTCGGGCAGCCAGAGAATGGGGCGACCGGTGATGGCGAGCTCGCGACTGTCCTGACGGTGATGGCCGATGAGGGTGCGCACGTCCTGGATTAGCGAAACGGGATCGCGGATCAGATCGGGGACGTTCTTCTTGTTGGCGGGGAGCATGTGCAAAAACATGACGATTTCCTGGGGGCAAAACAAGATTTTTTCACATGGTGTATAATTGGTTGCATACACATCATTATACTTTTCATATTAATGCCCATCAAGTAGAGTTATTAATGTCATTCAGAACAACTCTTTGTTAATTGAATTGTTTTTACTGTCTCAAAAACTGGGGTACACATAGTTCTTTGAGAAAATAATTATTGAGGAAGATTGAGGTTAGGATTGTTTGAATTTTCGCATGGGTGCCACCTTAAAATGATTCCTTTCAACGACTACTTCGATGCATGAATGCGAGTAGTTTTTCGGGAATTTAATACGTGATGTATAATTGGTTGCATACCTACACCAAGGATTTATTTTCATTCCGTCTAAGCGAAATTTGGAAAAAAGGCACTTTTTAACTTAAAATGTGCCTACATGTCTGGGAAAATACACAAATAATTATTTTATCGGCTTTTTTAGTGTTTTTTGGCTTCTTTTCGACAAAATTTTGCAATACATTTACTTTTCTGACAAAAAATGGGCTATTAATCGGTCGTAAAAAGCAGGAATTATAAATTTTTATTAAAGTTTTTTAGTAAAGTTTTGCGAAAACAAACTTAATTCTTAGCTCAAAAAAAAAAACATGTTTAAACACTCGAAAACGCAAAAGTGACTCGTTTTCAACCTTATTTTTAATGAAATTCGAACTGAAAAAAGACAAGTGTATTTTTGGCTAAAAAAAAATCTCTAAAAGACGGCAACACATGTTGGAAAAAACGTGTTAAAACGTGTGAGAACGGCAATACTAATGTCATTTAATGTTTTTTGGGATTATTTTCGACAAAACTTTGAAAAATAATAAATAAATAAATAATAATAATAAATAATAAACGCACTAAAACGCTTTAAAAAAAAAGTAGAACCAATTCATTTTTGACCTAATTTACTGATGATTTGCCCTGGTTTAACTAAATCTTGCAAAAATAACACCACTGACGATGTAATTTTACTATTTTTCGAGTTGTTTTGACAAAATTTATCGTTTTTAAATGAGAAACGTAATAAAACGCTCAAAAGAGCAAAAATAATGCGATTTTCGACCAAAGTTGACAACATTTTGTCCCTTTCAAACGAAATCTCGAAAAAAATCACATTTTAACGCCTAAACACACGAGAAAAGCACAAATAATTATTGTCTCGGCCTGTTTTAGTGTTTTTTTGGATTCTTTTCGAACTAATTTACGTTTATTTCGATTGAAAAAACATTTGCCCCTAATTTGATGATTTTTAGAGGTCATTTTTAATTAAACTTTACAAAATTGTTGCATTTCTAGCTAAAATGCAAACAAGTCGCTCTAAAAAAGTAAAAACAGTGCTATTTTTAATGTAATTTGGTGAGATCAGTCAGTTTAAGCGGAATCTCCCAAAAAAATTAAATTTTTATGCAAAACGTGCCTAAACGATTAAAAAAAAAACAAAAAATTATTCTCAACCTGTTTTTTGGTTTAGTTTGGATGAAATTTGTTATTGAGTTCCTCGTTTAAAAAACGGCTTAAAACGGACAAGAAAGGCAAAACTAATGTCA